CGCAAATAAACTGATCTCCCCATCCTCTCTAATTACTCCAGTCATTACCAATGGTCAATGAAGACACTAGAATACTAACAGTTTACTAATGACATGATAACTGTAATTAGACCATCCTGCTGGACCCACTAATTGTCCTTTCCCTTTTACAGACGAGCGAGGAGCAGAGACAAAGACAGAGAGACTGTGCCGAACGTAATTAGCTTAATGTTTATTCAGTCACTGCAAACTAGTTTTTTGAAGTCAGTGGACCAGTCCCAAGGGAAGTATAAGGCCTCTTGTTTGACTCCCCAAATTCATGTTTTTAAGAGTTGTGTGGCTAATTTAAAGGTATATTTCAGAGATGTACTATTACTTAAAAGTGCCTTAAAAAGAAAAGAAAGGAGAAGAAAAACACAGCAGTCTGAGTCACTCAATGAATAAGGATAACCCTTAATCCTGAAACCTGGTGGAGAACACCTGCTACCTGCAGGATAATTAAAATGAAATCAATTTCGAAAAAAAAGTCTCCAGAAAAGTGTCACCTGCCACAGATTAGCATACTCTGTCACATACAAAGATTTAAATCGAACCATCACAATAAAGGGATTTAGCAGAGGGTTTTAATTTGAGTTGGCTACTATTATTAAATAAATTTCATGACCTCTTTGTGTACAAAACTGTCTGGTTTGTTCTACAGTTTTAATAGAATTAAACCAGTGGGAGCTGAAAAATAATCATTCTTCAAGATCATTTTTTAGAAAAGTATATCTCTTGCCTATATTGTAATCAGAGTATTTATTAATAATGTACTTTACCTTGTCCAGAAACCCTCCTGTGCTTGACAGAGGGGAGGAATAAATCTGGGCTGGTTTACTGCAGGTGGCTCCACTCAACTACTGCTTCACACTCTGCTGCTTTCCTCTTATTTCACTAATGCCCTCTCATGCTCTCCCCCTCCCTGTTTCCCCCTTTCCCTCTCTCTTCTGCACTACCTAATGCTCATGGTTCCTTGCCCTCTCCTGCTCACGCTTTCTCTTGTTATTGCGTCATTGTTTCAAGGCACTGTACAGGGATGAAGATTCACAAGCCACACTGTTAAAACAAATCCTGGCCTTTTGTATCAGTGAACCATCTAACACATCTGAAAAAACAGTAGTAAGTAAGAAAAACTCATATAGGAGGGAAAATTTCAGATGTGGGAAATACACAGACAAACATGTATGGTTGAGCTAATTTCAGAGGCACTAATTGCCTCTTCTTTTTATAGCCAATTGCAGTATGTTTTTTCATAATACTGAGCATTCATTCACTCACTCTTTTCTACTGTTTGACTTCCCATAATGTGCAGATTTATTTCTAGCCTTTCTGGAATACGCTTGCCAATATTCAAATGCATGGAGTAATTATCCACCAAATCACACAATTACAGTGAGAGGAACGGATACAGTTAAATTCCTATTTCTAGAATATGATATCTTAAATATTTCAGGGTAACAACGGATCCTTTCTAATGCAAAGTAATTACAAAGAACAACTGTGTTAGTGGCAATCAATTCATTATGTAGTTAGCTAAAACAGGGTATAACCCCATTGTGTGAACAAATGACATGGATGGTTTGTTTTATTGATGGCCAGTTGAAGCTTACAAAGCACTATGACCCACACCAATGTAACATTTAATTATTACAAGCTGACCCCAAGGGGCACAAAATACTGAATCCTAGGCATTCTCTATGGGCCCCTCCCTGCATCCTATTCATTTTAGTAGTTTGTGGGCCCTCCTCACATAACTGCCTTGTGTACTCGCCTTTTACCCCCAGTCCTACATCCCTGCAGCAGCACTACTCGTGTTGGATGTGGGGCTAAAGCCCTAGGGTAGAAAATAAATAATGCAGACAGAATACTTGGTGTACATAAAGTTATACAATTCAAAACAAAGCAAAGAATGCCGCTGCCTGCTCTGGCTGCTGCCTATACTGTAGCACACACTACTGAAAGGTAACCATTTGCAGAATGTGTGGACTTTAAAACTATGTCAAAGTTATTTATGTCCCTATGTGGAGTTGTTGACTTTTTCAACCCAAATGCTGGAAAAGACAGAAGACTTCTAAAATCACACTAGGTTGATTGGAGCCATCAAAAACAGCCTCATAAACCTGTCCTTGGAGCAGACCTGTGGGCAAATCACCACACTACCAGTTTACTTCTCACAGTGAGTCTGTTTCATCATCCAGCATATTTGAGCAGAGACACTATGGAAGCAGACAGCTGGTCTTGAGTGGCCAATTATGTCCGTTTATCTCCCTTCCAGGCACAGCTGCGATCAAACAGAATGAAGAAACAGGATCAAACAGCGAGGCTAAAAATCATTCTTCCGTTTCGTTCACTTCTTTTTGCAGCTTCCCTCTGCCTTTTTCTGTCTCTGTTACTTCCTCCCCCTGTACTTCCATTCCTCCCTCCTGCCTCTCTCTCTGTATTTATATATATACTTCTTAGTCTCACTATCCTTTCCTTGCTCATCTCTCCCAAGACAACGGAGCAGAGGCATCTGTAAAAGTTTACTGCTGATGAAGCTTTGTCGTGCATAGCCTACACTGAGCCTGAGTGTGTGCTCCAGTGGTTCTCAGTGTACCAGCGAAGAGATCTCAGAAGGAGCTAGAGGGGGGTCACCCGAAAAATGAAGATTCCTCTATTGTCAACAGGTACTCTGGTGTCAGAGAAATAACCGAATATCAACAAGTCCCCATATCAAAATAGGAAAGTTTGTCAGTGCCTTTCAAAACAACACATATTAGCATTTTATGGTGTAAAGACATGCTTATTTTTAGGAAACTAATTGTGGTTAAGTTTAGGGAAAGTTTGCAGTCATGGTTAAAAAAAGACTGCTGGTAGAAACTGGAGTCTAGATTTAACCTGAATGCCACACCTTCCCTTTGAAATTTTGCTGTGCAATAGAACCTCACTCCATACTTCCCACTTGGGCGTTGACTTTAAACAAGCTATTGATCAAACGACCAGTTGTCATTTCTCTGGATAGGATAGGCTTGGAAATACTGTAGGTTTTACACACAGTCTCAGCAGTTATTACTGATTTGTGAAAACCCAAACATTTAGAGGTCATGGAAATCTCCACACATAGCAGTTCCTTCCATGGCATCTTTTCACATCAGAGGTGAAATGTGATGTAAAGAATGCCTCCACTGTGCTCAGCCTACACTGTTTTTCTCCAAAACAACATTTGGCAGACCACTCAGTCCAAGTCATGAGATCTGCAAAAGCCCCACTAACCTCCTGAATAAGCCCTAAATCAATAAAACCTATAATGCAACTAACTTCTCCACAGCTACTCTCTTCTGTCCCCTCTATTGCAATTAACTACACACACGTGACTCAAAGCAGAAAGTGGGCCTAGAGGTGAAATTAAAATTATTCTGCAATGTTAAGTCTGTTTTGTTTATAGACTGTGTCTAGCTTTTTGTATTGAAACATTGGTCATCAAGTTCAGCAGGGTTTTTGCTTCTATGCACATGATAATAAGTGGAGTTCCACGGTAAAATATTATGTTAATTGACTCTTCTTTGGAGGAGACATAATTACCCATAAACGCTAGCAGCGAATTTAAGTGTTGATATCTTGATCTGCGTCACCACATGTAGGTAAAAAATGATTTTTCCGGTGTCTGCCTCGTGCGTAAAGATTGTTGGTATACGCACAAAAACGTACAAAGTACGTTGGTAATGCGTTTAACGTAGGTCTTTTGCCTTGCCCCTTTGATCTAGTGTACATCGCAGAGCTTGCACCGTTGCACACATCAGAGCCTGTGTGTATGCACAAAGATAAACTGCGGATGGGTGTTACAGGGTGTTATGCAGCTACAAACCCCACACGGACTCGGGGAGTAACAGACCAAGTCAGCCAGCATCCTCGGTTGTTGGAGGCAGAATGAGACCCCCGTGCATCTGGAGCGCCGGTGCTGGTCTCCGGTAAACTGAGACAGTAGCCCGGTTAGATTCACGCCACCTCCTCGCACAACCGGCAATAATATTGTGTAGCCCTGTTGCATGCAACTGCCAGCCCTGAGGTAAAAGTCTTTCAAGGAATGTAATAAGTACATTACATGGACAACTTAAGAGATAAAACAAGTACGATGAAGTCACTATAAATTCTATTGAGCCGCTACCTTACAGACCACTGGCACTCACATTAGTCTCGATATGAAGAATATAGGAACATTATAGCGATTTTTCATTATTCAACAGCTCTCCCGAGGACAGTCATTTATTAAGCTGCACATTAAAATCCACAGTATACGGTTAAGATGTTTTTTCAAGACTACAAAAAAAAAAAAAGAAATCAATATTGACATCAAGCCAACATCCCAAAATACTGAAGTTATTATAGGACGGAGTGAAGCCAGCAGTGGAGTGGAACGATGAAAAATGTGCAGGTGATGATGATACTTGTAAAATCACCTTTGTTAGAAAGTTGTCTGCCTATACAAACGGGCGACATCGGGCTTTAAAACTAACGCAAATGACTTTCAGGAAATTAATTAAGGCTTTTGTTAGAAAAAAGTCACTGACCTTGTTAACTTTGATCACTCATTACAAGTTGTTTAATCATTTTTTTAATACCTTGCCGCCTCTGGTGCCGACCGAGTCAAGACTGGAGATCCTGTAGCAGAGATCTCCCTCATAATTGTGCAAAAACTGAGCTAATCACTGTCCCACCGGCACAATGATTATCAACGCATTATTTGAAAAGGAAGGCAGGTTTGGGTATCCCGTTGTCACAAAGTGCTCAATGATTTTGGTTTCCCAAAAAATTGAATCTTTACATTTATTACGCATTTTGGTTTGACGTGGAAACAGAACTTTTCCATCCCTGATGCGTTTTATATTAACACCATACTTGTGATGTGGATTAGTAAAAGGTTCACTGGAAAAGCGGTTTAATTTCCATTTAACACCTACTCGTGACAGTGTGATTTGAGCGGGCAGCAAAAGTGTCAAACTTACCTCCTTCCTCTGCTTTTACTGCTGAAGGCAAAATAAAGGCCAGTAAACATCCACAAAGCCATACGAATAAATCCATCTTTTCCCCCTCGGATGTGGAAAACCACCTCTTCTCCTCCTCTGTGGTTTTATTCAGTATATCTGACACAAAGCTCGAGTCCAAAGTCCCCTTTTCCAGTTCTTTATTTATTTGAAGCGCAACACAAATAGTGCCCCAAATCCACCACAAATGTCGGGTTGCGTTCGCAGGGCTCTCCAAGAATATATTGCGCTGGTTGAACAGTATTTGCACAGTATTTGTACAAGCTTTGTGAGTGTGTGCTTCTTCTTTTGGAAAAAAAACAACTGCGCAAATTGATCTGAAATCAATTTCTATTGTAAACACATTTTAAAGCCTCACAATCCATTGCGGTGAGCGCAGCCGGCTGCACTGTGTCCCCCTGTCAGTAAAAACGCGCGTGGGAATAAAACCTTGCCGACACGGTCGTTGACAAAATCATAAATTTCAAACAAAGTGGAAATCACCGGTTGAAAACACCAGGAACAAATGCAACCATTGAGTTTGACAAAATCTGAAAAAAGTAACTAGAGTGGTTCCTCCTCCTTTCGATAAACCCCCCAAATCTTTTGCTCTGGCTGTCTTTCCCAAATTGCGCAACTAGTTGGTAAAATTATTAAAAAAGAAACAAAATCCCATGGATTTCCCTCTTAACATACTGTCCCGATAACGGTTCGTTCTTGCGCAAAAGATAACACAAGATCTCCTGGATGAGGCAGCTCCGGCGTGCGTGCGTAAAACTGATCGGGAGAAAATAAACGTGCAGCCTCTCCTCTCTCCTCCTGCAAACTGCGTTTCCTCGCTGAAACACGCTCTTCTATGTCCGCTCCCTTCCTCTCTCTCTCTCTCTCCTCAACGCTCAGTATGTCTCTCTCTCTCTCGTTCCCTCTCCCGGCAGCTCCGGCAGTGCGCTCCTTCCCCTCCGATCTCCGCCGGGTTTGTGGCAGCGGGCAGGACTGCTCACTCTGTCCCCAGTCTCGGTGTGCGTGCACGCCATGCGCGCGATCGTGTATCGGATTACAGTAGGCACCTCGGCCCGCCTCCATATAGCCCCCTCACTGATTAAAGAGCAGTTTCATCTCCCTTTCACTCCCTTCTCCCTCTCTTTTTGCCTCACCCTCTTGTACCTTTCTGTATCTTTCCCACTCTCTCCCTGTGGTACATTTATATCAAATTTATATCTTTCTATCTTCTACCTATCTTCCCATTTCACTCATCTTCCTTTCCTTTCTCTATCTAGGTACTCCCTCCTTTCCTCTTTTATGTCCTTCCCATCTCTCTCTTTCTCCCTCCACCTTTCTCTTTGAATAGAGGGAGGTGGAAATAAGAAAGGCAGAACACAGGGAAAGAAGGGGCCCACAGCACAGCTTTATGAGCTTTTGTAGTAGTGCTGGGAGCTTTAAAAGGAAAGTAATGCTGGTTTATAGCATTACTACGGAAACACCAACCATGTGCATGTATAAAACAATGAAAACGGAAAAGATTATGATGAGTAATTAAGTAATCAAATACCGAAAATACTTGACTAATAATATTAGACTTATGATAAAGTTTAACAGCAGAATTTTCTTTTCTGTTAAAAATAATTACTTGTCACGCATAGCAGCCATTGTGGTAAAAATGGTTGAGCTCTTAAATGAAAACATTCACTCACACCTTCCTGCACACACACTCACACTCTCTTGTCTGCAGGCCAATGCAAAAAGCTGTTTACCAAGGGGACATAGGTTAGTCGCAAATAGAATCTATACAACAAGATATAGACAGCAATAGGACGCTGACATACTCACACACACATACACACACTTACAAATCAACATGTTCACAGGCATGGACATGTTCACACACACACACACACACACACACACACATACAAATAGCCGGGGAATTTCACGGGAATTGGATGAATTTTTGCACACCTATTGTTTCAAACGTGATACAATTTCACTCTCTTTTCTGGTTTTCTCTCTCTCTCTCTCTCGTTCCCTCTCAGTAGTATAATACAGGGAGGAGGACTGTGGGAGGTGTGTTTTAAAGCCTGTAGCAACACCAAAGCTTGTGGTCTGAAAAACTAACCAAATCTTGGCTCACGCACTGCCTTCCCAGGACACACCCTGCACACATTCACACACAGATGCACACACATACAGGCCATAATGACACAGCTGAACTCACCATTGACCACTCAGTAAAACTCCTGCAGTGCACTGAGTTATCTCGTGGGAAGAAAATCCCTATTTAAACCACCACAGAGAAGAAAAACACACGATTGCTGATGCTTTTTTTTCACAACACAATTATTTATAGTCAGCCTGAACTTTTCTGACACAGGCGTTTCTGAGAACAAGCAATCTTAAACAGTGACATTTATTTCACAGTCCTGGCTGAGGGAGCTAGGAGTGTAAATCAGCCATATTATAATTTCCTGATCAGTTTTACTTTTACTGTAATAGGCCTAAAACTACCATTGTGAGTGAATGACTGGTCTCATTTCAGGACAGTGACATGTGACACACGCACGCAGGCTCACATACACATCATCAAACTGTCACTCAGATGTTTCCTAACATCTCTGGAGGTCTGAAGGTATTAAGTTCTTTTTCCATGACAGGTCTGTGTGTGTGTGTGTGTGTGAAAGAGAGAGTAACAGTCACCCTACTCATTCCTTTGGTCCCTCTAGTCATACAAACTCTTTAACCGGTCCCTCTCTCCCCTCGTCCTGTGTCTCTCCACTGAAACTAAACCTACCTTAGCCCAACTGGAATCTGTCAAGTGTTGAGAGAACTGAGAAATCACATGCAAATATCAATGTAACATTCCACTGAGTTATTAGAAATGTCTTATTTTGACCAATAAAGAACAGATAGGTGCAGCATAGGTGCAGCAAATTGCGCCCGGTACGGTCCTGTCCTTTAAGCTTGAAATTGTGAACTTTGTATGAACCAAAAACAGCCTTATTTACCTTAAGCAGTGATGTTTATTTTATCATTAAAATATTATTTAATTCGAATTCAAAGTTTTACATGAAAACAATGTTTTATGGGGGTGGTGATGGAGCAGTGGGTAAGACACATGCCTTTGGTGTGAGAGACCGGGGTTCAATTCCCCACTGTGACCCATCTACCAATGTGTCCCTGACACTCAACTCCTATTGTGACATGTATAGCAAATGTAAGTCACTTTGGATAAAAGTGTCAGGTAAATTAATAAATGTAATCCACATTTCCAAATTTCCAAAGTCCTTAAATTGAAGTGAAATTATAATCTGTGTTTAGGTATGAAATGAGAACAGAGCATGCTGAATGTAAAAAGTGTCTTAAATCTTAGTATGCACAAGGTGGCTGGATGAATTTGGACAGGAAAAGTAAGCAATAATGTCTTGCGAATGATTCTGAATTTACACCTATCTACCACATGGACCCAAGCCTTCTGGGCTTTCCCTTCACGCATTCTTCTGTATAACTTGCAACAGTATGTTGTGAAACTAAGATATGCTAATCCATGACACCTTTTCTGCTTGCCAAGCAATGGACTGGGTTTCCCATAAGTCACCACTGACATCACCGAGAATCCATTTTAGAATGGACAGAGAAGCTGCCTGTGCTCACACAGTCCCAGTGTTTCTCCCTCACTGAAAACCTGCAACGGTCTAAGGTCATAGCATGTTAATGAATATGTTGGGCTGTGTTTCTGGATGTGTGCCTAGTGTCAAGTTTTGTGGTGTAAAAGTAAAACAGAGAATTAAACAAAACCAAAACTGTGCAGCCGCTGGCAGGGAAGATGAGAGACAGCGAGACAGTCTGGAAGGTGGAGCTTTTCTTTCCGGTGGAGCACTGGGCCCAGGTGCTCCAGATCTGGGGAGGCACGGCAATGAGCTCCTCGAACACAAACACCGCATGGATAGGTCAGCATGGGTAAATGCAGTACCTGACCCAGCACACACACACACTCAGGCCACACAGGGGCCGTCACAGTTACAACAGAGCTGTGAAACCAGTGGAGGGTAAGGTGATCCTCGCTCTGCGTCAGGGGAAGAACTTGTCTGCTGGCCTGTCGACAGGCACTACTGGCCCTGTCCACACCTTGCTGACACACTGCATCCTCTATCGCTCTCTCTTGTTCAGTTGATTTGATGAATGATTTTATGCATTCATTTCTATCATTTCATTGCTTTCTAAATGTGCTGTTTTGTTTTTTCAACACTATCCTTGTTGTGCATCTCATTTTTGCCACCTGTTCATCTCTAAGTTTTCCTTCCTTGTTCACTGATACCTTATTTAATACCAAATTTTCTATTTGTTTTCCTTCTAACATTTATTTTTCCTTCAATCTTTCATTGTATTTCATCTCGTTCTTCATTTCCTTTCCTTGCCTTTCCTCTCTTCTCTCCACACGTTGCCACTCTACACTCTCTTTTTCCCCATCCATCCCAAGAGGGATTCACTTTTGGGAGTTAAGCGATGAAGACTAACCACATTCAGACCCCCCATACATGAAGCTGTTTTTCCTTTTCTATTTAGTTTCTTAATCAGCAATATTAGTAAAGGGTCTAAAGGGTCCCGCAAAAATAAAGTATTAGAAATGAACCACAAACGAATAAAAGCTTCTGTCTGACCCAGTTCCAAAACAACGTGTGGATACTGAATTTTAAAAAAATCAACTTAGAAACTACCATAGAAACTGAAAAAATGACTTCCACTCTGAACTTGTACTGAGAGTAACCTTAATTCAGTCTTAGAATGGGGCTGTTTAAAACTTGTGGAGTCTTTGCAGTAAGTCATTTCTCTCCTTCCCCTTGTGATCACCATAGCAATTTCTACGGATTCCTGTTATTCATGATGTACTATGAAATGATGGCTCAGCAGCAAGCTAGGGACAAAAGTACAATGACACAAAACCTGAATGTGAAATGTGATAATAACATTACCATATTTGCAACTTTGCAACAACATATTTGTGCTGCCCTCTGCAAACTTTGTTGTTTTTTGTTCATCAAAAATACTACTGAATATCAAGATTCTTATTCTGGAGATATCAGGTATTTTCAGGGCAGTGTCACTTTGCGAACGGGCCGCTCAGTGATCCAAAATAACCACCAAAATGTTACCAGCCCACCGAGATTTCTCCCAATCCTCTGGATTACCACTTTACCACTGCTTCCCTCCCTCCACCCATCTATGAGGTTAATGGCACATGAAGAATGTGTTGATCTCAGAGGGACCAGCAGCTCTGTGTCCATCAAACTCTCCTCACTTCTGTGCATATATATGTGTGTGTGTTTGTGTGCCTATTAATAAATATTTGTTTATGCATCTGCATGTCGGAGAGTTAAAAGATGTCTGTCTGAGTGCATAGTTGGAAGATCTCTTTGACATATTAGAAGTTTTTTTTTTACCTGTGTGTGAGTGTGTATAGTGTTAACACGTTGACACCAGACTCCAGGGACGCTGCAGCGGCTGTATTGTGTCCAGTTTTTCACCCACTGTCCAATTTCCTGTTCAAGATCTCTCCCATCTCACTGATCATGTTTCCTTCCTTCCCCTCTCTTCTCTTTTCCTCCCACAAAAAGTAATCATAAGTTTAGAGCAAATGCAGAGTCCAAAAAATCTAATCATTTGAAACACCCCCTATGCAATTCAAAAACATTCACACATTTCATTCTTTACCTGACCCACTGACATATCAACATGCCTCACAAACAGACACATTTGCACTCAGAGAGTAAATATTTATGTGTGCATACATCACCCATGGACTGACCGTATTTATCTGTAGTGCGGCAGATATTTCGTCCCCGGCGTGGGTACACAAGCGCTGAAACCACTCAGTAATGCAAACACACACACACACACAGACACACACACAACACACGTGCACACTCCCTGTGGCCTCATCAATAAGCCATATTACTGAGGAGGTCTTACGGGAAGCCACAGTAAATTAGTGTG